GTGGTCTTCAGTTCCTTCTTTTGCAGCTGCTTTCTATGTGCGAGATTCAGGTACCAGCCAGCTTATTACGTCATGTTAGGGTAATAAAATCAAATATTATTATTCCAACATATAGACAAATAGAGTTTAAACATACCACGTCTTTAAAGTATATATTGCTTCTTTTTAATAGTTATTTATTTATTTTTGTTCGGTCAACTATATGGGGGCCACCAATAGCGCAATAACTTGTTTATTTCATATTGTATATCATTGTCTTCCTATCTTTCTCGTCACATAAAATAAGGGATATGCAAGTTTCTCTGCACCGTTGGAATTCGAATCCAAGGCAAAATCTTCAGAAGTGGTGTTCTAGACATCAAGTAATTAATGATGAATGATATTGAAAAATTAGATACAGTTTTGATGAGGACATGCATTGATGTAGAGGCAAAGTGAAGATATCAACTAAAAGACTACATACAATTTGCGGGGGTCACTAGAGAGGAGTCAACAGCTTAATTAGCTTTTTTGGTGTTTCAGACCAAGCGGCAAAGGAACAATCAGCTCAGTGGTGATCTCCCACAGCTTTGCACCCACTGCCATTTTCATGTGAAATACCACTAGTCCAATTCGTGGGAGGATAAAGAGTTGACCAAAATTAATAAATTCAGGATTTTTTCTTCTTCTGTTTTTGGAATGGATAACCTAAATTACACGACCTAACAGATGACATGATTGTTGCATATCCTAATATTTGCATGCTATCTATGCAAAAGATGAATGGTTGTGATTCAACATATAAACATCCTCGCAAAATGATTTAGTTCATAAACTGTTTGGTCGTCTAAAAATGTGAGCACAAAAAAAAAAAGCACAGTTTGTTAGAGAAAATTAAACAGAAAAAAGGTGAGTGTGGGCGATGATCCATAGTAGGCATGAGTTAGGCCCCCCCCCGCCATTTCCATCGGTTGTAAGAAGGATTAGGGGGGGGGTATTGCGAAGGGTAAAGAGAAAAGGTGAAAAACAGGGTTGTGTACTAGAGCGCTGGATGGAAGGTGATACAGAAACACTGGAGGACCCAGTACATGCTTACAGTGGGCAGCTGCTGACACTTATAAGTGTTTTCTTCACCCATTTAAATTGCTGCTGACATCACACTAACGCCAGCTTGCCCATGCGCCAGCCCACGCAAGTTTTGCCTTTGGGCTTACCAGTTTCATGGAGCCCACTTCTTGTCATGGCAATTTTTCCTTAGTGGGGGAATGTTTTGGAGCCTAACCCCCTTTTGCCATGACAAATATGAATCGATGGAAGTGCTCTTATAGAAACTGCGAGCGAGCATCTTATTGTACAATAAAACTTGCACGATATTTAAATTTGATTTGTCCAAACACAAAAAAATAAATAATATTGGAAAAGACAGCTGAGCGACAACTCGCAAAGAAACAAAACTACACCAAAATATTAAAACGATAGTCAAATGTATTGCAAAGGTTTTCTGACAAGGTGCTCAAGCTCAATCACCAGTTATGTTTTTACTCACCACGATATTTCTAGCTAGGTCAAATTTCTTAAGAATAACTAATAGTCGCGTGAAGCTCAAGCAACACTCTTAATTAACATGAACCAATTCCCTTGTTTGGATAAAAAAAACATAGAAATTTAGAAATTCCACGTGGGAAAAAACATGGAATTTGGAGATCATAAATCCCAACTTTAAATTCCATCTAAAAGTCGTCATTTCTAAAATCCCAAGAGAGATTGAGTTTTTAAAAAGATAACTTTATAAATAAAATTAAATTCCGTGTTTTAAATCCACCACCCAAACAAGAAACTTTACAAATTTTAGAACATTAATTTTCATCATTTTAAATTCCGTCATTTATGAAATCCTTTGTATTTTAAAATTTCATCATCCAAACACATTGGGGTTTTTGAAAAATGGAAATTGTGTCACAAAATTTTAGGCCAAGGTGGCTAACAACACTACTACAAAATAGTTAAATCATGACATGAAATAGAGGACGGTGTATCTTAAAATCGTCGTTGTATTTTAAAAGATGACGATCTTATCTTATACACTACTAGTGTTGGGTTGATTCTTAAAAGACGACGCTTGTCACTAACAAGCGTCCTTTTTTAAAACACACTAAACAAAAAAATGCCGCTTAATTAAATTCGTACTTTTCCTAAATTTTCAGATTTCCCTCCTTGACAACTTTAACACCTTGATGAAACTCTCTGAAACACTCCCTCTCACATATATTGAGCACTCATCTCCCTACAAAATCATCAGAAAATCGATATCACGAAGGAGTTGAGAGATTGAGGTCTTTGCAGATCCACAAGACGGAGATGGAGGTTCTGGATACGAGAATCAAAGCTAGTTGGATGCGGTGAAGATCTCGATCTCCAAGCTCTTCAATGAAGATCTCCATCTCTGGTGCTCAACTCACTCATTAACCTTAACAACTTGGTCCCGTTAGCTCTCCAATTTCATGGTCGCGATCTAGAAAGACTCGTAGAAAGGCAATAATTTGAATGTTGGTGATATATGTGTCTTTGTGTTGATTGATGACACATACATCACCAACATTCAAATTATTGCCTTTATGAAATTGATGGCTCGATTGTGATGAGGAACACAGGCTCATTTCGTACATAGCTCCCACTGGTATGATTTAATATCTCTTGGGATTTTCCAATATTTCTCTTATATTCATTTTACTATGATTTTGTTTTATATATCCATGACCATATTTATTTTCCAGTTGATTTGCATATATAGCTCTTCTCCAGCAATCATCCATTGTAAGGCAAGCAAGGCAAGCACTCTACAAATATGGCTTGTTTGTCTTCTCTCTTTCTCTGCCATCATATTTACCTATGTCTTTCATAATTTAAAATTGTTGCAGCTACATAGTTTGCTTGCGTAGATTTTGACTGCTTAGGAATTCTTAACATGTGAGCTATTGTTACTGTTGTTTGAATTGGGCTCCGACTTGTGCTTGTGTTTATAGAATTATGATACTTAAACTTCGGAATTAATTGTAGTTGCATTCATTTTCTTAACAATCAATTTAATTGTCTCTATTTTTTTCTGTCTTAGCCCCAATCAATATTCTTGAAAGAGCAAATAGACTCTGTTTGGCAGAAAGATCTTGTGCAAAAACCTTTGAGCCTCAAAAGCACAAACTCATCTAAGAGCTCCAAGAATGAAGGCTGGCAAACCAATGAACTTTCGGTATTCATCCACTTTACATGTAACTAGTTGAAGTTCATTATGTAGAATTCCTCTTTTTTTTAATTATATAAAATATGTATGTTGTAGAATCAAGAATGGTTAACTATGTAGAATCAGTTTTGTTGGTAAAGTGCTTGATCCCAAATAATCCCTGTAGCTGTTGAAGATCAATGATAATGGTTGCACCTGCCACGAACCCAATGATAGCAGCATGGGACAGAAAATCCACAAGAAACCCCAACCTGTAAATTGAATTTGGAGAGCAAAAAAGGAAATGTAACACAAATATTTTAGTTAGGACTGCTAGTCAGTCAAATATTATTAAGAACATTACCAACCTGAAGACTCCACAGGCAGTTTGAAAGACTCCTGCAAACAAAGTTGTAGTAAAAAAACTCTTTTTGTAATTGATGGCATCAACTCCAGGATATGATTCCAGAATCATTGAAGATAAAAGCAGCGAATCGACGGCTACTGCTCCAATCACCAAGTCTCTTGAACTCCCCATCATTGCATATATAAGAGGCGGGATGATACTTGTATCTGTGTAAAAAAAGGAGAAAAAAGAGAGGAGAAAAAACAGTGCAAAACCATTAATTGACAGAAATAATCACCATAAGATCATAGAAATAAGTTGTACTAGACTGACTTACATAGGCCATATTGTGGTTCAAGATGGGTCAAAGTAGCATATCCCATGCTCTGCATAAAACTGTCACATATTCAAGGTAAATGCAGAATGTTGCAATTCCCAAAGTAGTCACGAGTTTTTGTTTAATTACCTGGGGAATACAGAGGCTTGCCAGAGTTAAACCGGCTATTAAATCATTCTTGAACGTCTTGAGATGGTAGTTTTGACACCAGCAAAGGATCAGAAACCAGCATTTGAAGACCAAGATCGAGCGCTTGGTTCCACGCTGATTACTCGATAACAACTTGTTTCGATGAGGCAGAACTGATTCCCTCATAAAATCCACAAGCTCATGCCACAGGCCTGGAGGCTGAGGGGGATTTAATACCCGTTGAGACCTCCCAGCCATGTTGTTTTCCATGTCAAACAACTCCTCCAATGTGCAGATTGTAGAACCAACCATGCTAAGTAGAAGATGTTTTTTCGAAACTGTCTGCCCCTGGGCGCATGTAGCAATGTTATTATATAGGACCTTATAAACATGCACAGTTGAGGTAACTTTGCA